AATTGCCATTATAGATGAATGGGAAAACACAAGTTGGGCCGTCTATCTCTGGATCTGGATCTGGATTTTAAAAGACCACAATGGAAAAATATTCATCGGATTTGAAGGAATAATATAAAATTGTGAGTGTTGCATATAGAGAATAAAATACTATATCAAACAGTGAAAACACAAAATCTAAAGGAAAAATCACACCTAATTTTGCTGTAATTTTAAATACCTGTTAGGCCATTAATACTTTGATTTCAGCTTTCCAATAGTGTTAACGCTTTGGAATGGGTGCTTCCTAAGGGATCAGAATCCTTGAATGGCAGTACCTCTAGTCTTTTCTTTCAAAGCAAAAATGTATTAATTTTGGAAAAGATAAAAAGAGACAATAAAGAAAGTTCTCACCAGCAAACAACCTGGGTGCCTTTCTTGCAAAGAGGTTCAAAAAATTATTTCTCACTTAGAATCATGCTGTGTATATTTTGCTAATTAGAGAAGCAGACCTTCATCCTAATTACCTACTGTAAGAAGGATCTCTAAAGTAAAAGAAATCAGATAAAGGTCCATCCAAAAATCTGCTGTGGTTTGATTTTTATGCATTTAATAAAGATATATCCTACTTTTTCACTTAGCAACTCAAAGTGTGTAGGAAGCATTCGTTGCCTATTTTCCTCCATAACAATCCTATGAAATAGGTTGAACCGAAAGAGAATGAACAATCCAAAATCACTCAGGAAAGTTCCATGACTGATGATGATCTAGATCAGGGGTGTCCAACCTTGGCAACTTTAAGACTTGTGGACTTCAACTCCCAGAATTCCTCAGCCAGCAAAGCTGGCTGAGGAATTCTGGGAGTTGAAGTCCACAAGTCTTAAAGTTGCCAAGGTTGGACACCCCTGATCTAGATAGAATATAATCTCCTTGTTTCCAGCCTAGCAGTTTAACCACCACACTATACTGTCTCAAAAAACAAACAAACCAAGACCTACTGCCACCTACTGTCCGGAGGGATAATTTTAAGAAACCATTTTTAAATTGTTTTAAAAGTATTATTATATTTCCATTTTATAATTGTTGATGTTGCCTATAAGTTAGTATTATAGGTTTATGTCCAGAAAACTGGTTGTTGTTGCAATTAGCAGTAGTAGTATTTTGCTACTGCTACTGCTTCTGTCCTACCTGTGATATTACAGTAGGTCCATTTTTTATCTACATCATAGTTGCTAGTAGTTGCACACCAGCATCTTCCATTTGTCATGCCATCTGCAGTACATGTTGTATATAATTTATCTTTGTAGATGAATGGGAAGACACATGTTGGATCTTCAACATTTGGATCTGGCCCTAATGAAAAAAATTCATACAAATATTTGAAACACACAAAAATTATCCTTGTTTTATTATGCTCCTTATACTAAAGACATGATAGCAGACTCTACACCTGCCTTTATTGAAGGGCAGTAGACACAACCCCCAACTGGAATGTACCTCATCTCTTGTAAAAGCAACCTGCTTTGATAGCCATCATGTTTGTTAAGAATAAACTATGCATGGACAAAAATAATATTTATACAGGAGTCCTTCCATATCAGGTGTATGCCAACTAGCACCTCCAGATATCTTGGGTTCTAATTCTCACAATCTCTTTCCATTGGTTATTAATCAAGCTGTGAGATTGATGGTACATGAAATTCAAAATATTTGAAGGACATCAAGTAGCATACTCCTATCTTAAGCCCTATCATGTAAAGCAGATATGATTATAGTTCCTGCATAGTGCCCTAGCATTTCTTTCTCCATTTCCTATACTTCCAAAATACCAGAAACTTTCTAAAAGGAATCCATGGAATCAGAGATTAGAATTTATTTGGCAAAATCCTATCTAACAAGGGAGAAGCCTGACATATACACATCCAGCCACTTTTTCCAATGAATGACATTTAATCCATTTCTCATGAGATCACCTGATTCCTCTGAACAGAACCTCCACATTTTGTCAATATTATAGTTACTGCTGGTGGCACACCAGTATCTTCCATCACTCCGGCCATTTGTGGTACAACCAATATAAACCTGGTTCTTGAAGACAAATGGAAAGACGCATGGTAGACTTTCCACATTCTCATCAGGCCCTGACAATAAAAAAAGAAGAATTCATAGTTATTGCAAAACTCTCTCCAATATATTCTTTCCTTGTTTGTGGAGATTCTCAGTCATCCAGATCATGATAGTCTCAAAGGTGCTTTTTTTCAAGAGGCAACTGGGCTTTCTGGATTTTTTTGAAGATATTTCACTTCCAAGAAGCTTCTTCAGCTGTGACTGAATGGTGGGGAATGGAAGCATTTATACTCCTTGCACACAGCTGGTTATTTGCATTCTTTTAGTGGGTTGTTAAGGTTACATGGAGGTTTATCTGTGTCATCAGGATCACCTGAGTGGTGCAAATTGGTGTGGAACCTTCTTGGAACTGTTGAAACAATGGTGTTGTAGATTGGAGATACATGATATTGTATCCCTCCCCCTCAATTTTGACATAAATGGCCCCTTTAACCCCTCTTTCAAACCAGCGGTCCTCTCTGTCCAAAATATAGACTTTGCTTATTTTCTTTGCTTATTTTCAGAAATAGAAGTTCTTCTCTTTTTTTAGTGTCTTAATTATAGTTGCTTTACGCAACAATGCTTTACCACAATCCCTACAGCATGGACATGCAAATTCCATCAGTTCAAGACCCACACTTGTACAGCTTGTTAAGAATACACCCCAAAGTACAAACTCTATTATCTGAAGAGGCTACAGATATATTTGTAATACTGTAAGTATTTGCAGTTTAAGATACCCAGTCTTTCCATGAGAACCTTCCATATCAAAATACAATCATAAAATGGATGCTGCCACATTTTATACACTCCTGTTCAGACAGTAATATAGCTATATATAATATATAATCACATTAGGAAATGATGTGTTTTCCAAGGGTGAAGGATTGCAAGCAGTAGTGCATTTCTGATGTTAATATCTCTGTCACACAAGAAAGCCAAGCAATTTAGTATGTAACATTCCTAAATTATCATAAAAATTAATGCTGACTTTTTTTTTGCATTTACTGAATATTCCTACATATTTTTAGTTTAAAAAAATTAAAATCTTCTTTGAAAATGCATATTTGAAAGAAAAATTATATCAATTGTATTTTGAGGTAAAAACACCTGTTCTAAAATGCATATTTAAATATATACCAGGTTGATATACAGTATCTGGCACACACATAAAATTATCTATTTGTTCTTTCTTATCCCATAGAAGCATAGCACAAAATTTTGGGAAGTCTGCATGAGAAAAGAACCGTACTCTTTTTTGAGTATGCATAGGGGATTCAAGATGATGGAAATATCCAGTCAGTCAGAGTTCTGGGGATGATTTACATGCACACAGGCATTGGACATACTGTCTGGTTTTTATTATGCTCCCTACAGATGCTTCGCTCTCCTTCTATATCTGACCTTCTTCACAGCTCCTTTTATTCTCTTTGACAATTACTGTATAAAAACTAATCTTATTTATTCATTCTCCAATCTTTACATTGTATTTGAACATCTTATGAAGTCATTTGATGTTCTTTTCCTACCTGTGTCATTACAATATACCCATTTTTTATCTACATCATAATTGTTGGTGGTAGCACACCAGAATTTCCCATTACTCATGCCTTCATTAGTGCATGTACTATAGACCTTTTCCTTGAAGACAAATGGAAATACACATGATGGGCTTTGTATCATTGGATCTGGCCCTGGATTTTAAAAAAAAAAAAAAAAAAACCAAGTGAATACAAGGATATGTGATCCATTCTTATCAATAGTGAATGCCAATTTAGATTTCATAAAAAGTCATAAATAAACCAAAAGTAAATCTCTATAATTGAAATAGTCTGCTCACACGCTTTCAAGCATTCATTTTTCTCCTTTATTTCTACCTCAGGCACAGTAAGTAATAGCTTAAGTAAGTATTAATTGTGCTGTTGCTGGGACTGGAAGGAACCTAGAAAAGATGTCCTTTGTGGATCACATCCTTCCTTCCATCCATCCATCCATCCATCTTCTGGCTATTCTTTTTTCATTTTTATTATTCCATTTATCCAAAAGGGGGAAAACAACAAGAAGAAATACATTTATTCAATCATTTGATGAATAGAAATTATGTGGAACAAAATTTGAATACTTTGTTCCTTAGGTGTTCCAGGGACATATCTGCTATTTATTCTTAGAGATGCCACCTTACATATTATCAAAATGTTATATTAGAGGCCATTTTTTTCTTTTCTTTTTTTGTAAAAGTTTTATTTGGGTTTTCACAAAACATAATGAAATTAAAGCATCTTTTTTTGAGAACAGCATGATTCCAGGTTATCACATCTCCATACAGACATAATCTCAGTTACATATTCATCTTATGTATTCAATTTCATATCTTGTCACTATTTTATCAATTTCTCAATAATTTTTTGAGGCCATCTTTTCTTAAACTCTCAGAGCAGAAAGACACATATATTACATTATGTCATGCTTCTATCTATGGAGTTATAACTGACCTCATCAACCCCTCCTTGAAGGAGAGATTTCTCTATTTTTATCCAGTATATATCCTGTGGGATGTTTTCAGTTACACTGATTACAGGAGGCACTATGTTACTCATTTTTATCATTAATAGAATCAGATATTGATAGACAGATATTATTCTATAATTTGTTGTTGGTGTTAAAACTAGTTCCCCATCCTTAGTTCAAGGTGACATTCTGATGGAGTAACAGGGACATTTTGTATTGCTCTATTTGACATTATGCCTACCTTTGGGGTTCACTGACATTTCCATTCTGTTTGGTTGACAATGTGTTCTATGTACAGTATGTAGGTATCTTGCCACATGTAAAATTCAACAAAAGCATACACACTCAAAGTTACATCTTTGACTCTTTCTTTCTCTCCCTCTCTCCTGCCACATTCCTATGGACATCTACTGAGGGATAGTTGAATATGAGCAAGCCTTTATTACAATGAGCTTCAGATCCTTAGGAGTTCTTATAGAAGCTATAGAAAGACACTAATGATGGATAATTATCTCTTGATAGACAGGAGCAGCATCAAAGACATCATTCCATTTTCTAGTTTACATATAGAATGTTCAAAACCATGCTTCAACTATCCCTTAGTCATTCAATTCAAACTTATTCCCTCATATATTTTATTATGACCCTTCTATTTTCTTCTTGTAACATTTAACTTTTTTACCTAAATCTTGGCAGAGCTTCAGTTTCCTATCAACATCATAATTCTGTGTTGTTGCACACCAGAATTTCCCATCTCTTCTCCCATCTGCAGTACAATTTCTGTAAAGCTTTCCCTGATAGATGAATGGGAAAATGCATGGTGGACTTTCCATGATCTCATCAGGCCCTGATATTTAAGAATACAAAAGAAGAAGGAAATTAATCAGAATTATCCTTACAACAAAGTAACTGCTGACCCAAGCATTCAATCATCTGAACATAGAAGAATGTACACTAAAGCACGTAGTCATTCCATTCATGCAGTGGATTTATTAAGAGAGATCACGTGCAGGTACCCCGCTTGGACTTCTTTTGTTTTCTTGAAAAGTTTGGATGGAAGTTTGTATCCTCTTTCTAGAGGTCCTTTACTGTATATATAGGTGGGAGTAAGAATTAGTTAGAACTATAGAAGATAATATTGGTAGCTCAAGGCTGAATTGTGGAGTCCTTGGTGCCCTCTGAACTTGGTTGCTGCTAGCAGTGATGATTTTACCTAGTTTGGTAATTAAAAGTCTGCAAGAAAACAACCAACCTCAGAGACGACTGCACATTTCTGAGCAATATACAGAATCTCAATTTATCCCACACACTCAATAAATATATCATGACATGCATGCATAAACAAGATGCAGTGACTTCTACTGTGTGCTTCTCTCTCTCCAATACCTATAGCCTTGTTTAATATAAAAATTATTTCAGCTTTTTGCCTGATATTTGCTCAGTTTTATATAATGTAATTCACTTTCGATGAAACAAGAAATGATAAATCACTGTAAAACACAATATTCTGAAACAACTGTTTCCATAACAAACCACAAAGTTGTAAAAATGACTACACATGAGAAATGTGAAAATCATATAGAGTGCCATGTTGGTGTACTATTATCACAATATCTGATGTAAGCATGCAATACACTGACATGACAGTGACATCACTCATGTGTTTTCATCCCTCCTCATTATAAAAATGTTGATGCCCTGAAATAATGGAAGTAGGAACATAAAATGCCACTTCATATTTCATGTATTAGTTCCTTTTTGGGCAACACAGAAATGATTAGAGTCATTTCCTTGAATATTTCTGAGTATTTCATTATTCACGTTCTTCATTTCTTGAGGAACATGCTTTGAGTTGTGAAGAAAACAAAGCCCCACACTTAAAGGTTTTTAAAAATATCTCTTTCCCCTAGAAAACATTTACTAAAATAGAACTTTCATTCTGTGCTACAAATTCTTCAGACAGAAAATAGCTCCTCAGTTTGTAAAATTTGAGTTGTCTCATAAGATTTTGGAAGTCCCTCAGAAAGACACTGTAAAGGAAGTATCTGATTTTAATAGAAAAATGGCATGTATGTATTCTTGTAATTTGTGTCCAGCGCTTAATTGGAGAGAAAGTTTACATTTAGGGATGTACTTGGGTGCTTGATATTGTTGTGAATGACTATTTTAATTTAAAATTGGACATGGTTTGCTATAAAACTGGAGCATCTTAACATTTCGACATAGGCAAATGCTATCATCAGTGTTTCATTTTATCCTTATGAAATTCCATGCACAAAAAAGGTTTTGCTTCTATTTCTGCACCATTTGATTCTCATCAACTCAAGATTGACTCAGCTTTCCATCCTTCTGAGATCAGTAAAATGAAGACCAGACTGTTGGGGGCAATATGCTGACTCTGTAAACTGCTTAGAGAGCCCAGTAAAGCACTGTGAAGCGGTATATAAGTCTAGGTAGTATTGCTCTTCTTCCTACCTGAAGGCTCACAGTAAGTCCATTGCAGGTCTGAATTATAGTTTTGAGTGAGGGAGCACCAAGGTGTCTTGCCAAACATCCCATCTGTTGTGCACATGAAGTAGAAATTTTGGTTGTACAAAAAAGGAAAGACGCACATTTCTTTGGGATCAGCATCTGAACAGAATATATGAGATAAAATTCGTAAAACCGCAGGTCATTCAATTCCACTGATGTGGGGTTTTTTTAAAAAAAAAATGATTTACATTGTAGAACCAAAATATAGTTAATTTATGGATTCAAGTCTCATGCATGAGGTGCATTAGAAACTTTTTTTGATACATTGTGAAAGTAAACTTTAAATAAGAAAGCAAAGCAACCATTCACATATAGTAAGAGGAATCAGTTAATGTACTGTATATGCAGTAGGTAGTCCTTCATTTATGGCCTGTTCACTTAGTAACCGTTCAAAGTTAAAATGGACACCAAAAAAGCTACTTATGCCCCCCCTCCACGGTCACATGACTGCATTTTGGACACTTAGCAACCAGCCTGCACTCATGACCATTTGCAGCATCCCACAGTCATGTAGCCACGATTTACAATGTTTTTGCTGGATTTTGGTATTTAGTTCCAATTTCCAGTAAAAAACATTCCATAGCAAACAGTAGGTTCACTTAACAAGGGTGACATGCAATTTAGGACTGCCACATTTAATGAACACTGTAAAAAGAAGTTATGAAATGGAAGGGAAGGGAAGGGAATGGAACAGAACAGAACTGAACTGAACTGAACTGAACTGAATAGAGAGTTGGAAGGGACCTTGGAGGTCTTCTAGTCCAACCCCCTGCTTAGGCAGGTAATTTTATACCAATTCAGACAAATTATTATCCAGTCTCTTCTTAAAAAGAAATGATGGAGCATTTATAACTTCTGGAGAGAAGTTGTTCCATTGATTAATTGTTCTAACTGTCAGGAAATTTCTCCTTAGTTCTACAGTAGGTTGCTTCTCGCCTTGATTAGTTTCCACCCATTGCTTCTTGTCCTGCCCTCTGGTGCTTTGGAGAATAGCTTGACTTCCTCTTCTTTGTAGCAGCCCCTGAGATATTGGAACACTGCTATCATGTCACCCCAGTCCTTCTTTTCATCAAACTAGATATACCCACTTCCAGCAACCATTCTTTATATGTTCTTTATATATCAGGCACAATCATAGGGTAACCCACAATCACCATCCTGATTTATTATTTTAATAGTGGCTCATTTACAGTCGTAAATGAATGACTATTTTCAGTCGTGGGATTCAAATTTTTTTTACTACCGGTTCTGTGGGCTGGCTTGGTGGGCATGGCAGGGGAAGGTTACTGCAAAATCCTTTTCCCTCCCCACCCCACTAACCTGCTTTCCAGGTCTGTTCTCCTGTGCAAAGCAACAAAAGAAGACCCAGCCAATCAGCTGGGACTCAGGAGGCAGAGAATAGGTGGTGATGGGGCCAGTCAAAGGTGGTATTTGCCAGTTCTCTGAACTACTCAAAATTTCAACTACTGGTTCTCCAGAACTGGTCAGAACCTGCTGAATACCACCTCTGACTATTTTTATTTGCTTGTTGCTATGATGTTAATTGGGCTCAATATATTGAATATAGAAACAACTACAGGTATGGCATTTGAATCTACTGCTGGTTGCCAGATACTGATTGTGTTCATTTTCTCCAATGATAACAGCACAGTGTATGATAAATGATAAATGCCCAAAGTAAATAAAAGCCCAAACTGGGACCTAGTAGTCTTGAATCAAGAATATGAATGCCTAACATTACAATGGTTTCTCCAAATCTTGGTAGATCTGTTTCAGCCAAAAGCATCAATTTGGAGGCCAACTCTATGAAAGTATGAAATAGCTGTATTAAGATAAAAGTTCAATAGTAGTAAGTAAGTAGTAAGCAACAAACTTTAGCCATACTTCTTTGGAGAACAGGGCTGTCTATCCCAGAATATCTTCCCTGGAACTCCTAAATGAGGACTGCACATATGACATCCCTTAGCCAATTGTGGGCTTCAGGTCCTTTGTTCATGATTCTCTAGAGACCAGTTCTGGCTCTAGGTGCTAAAAATCCAATGGCTTCATTTTCTTCCATTTGTTGGTAATATGATTCAAAAGTTTTAGTGAAAGTCCTAAAGTAGACTTTAAACAACTATTTAAAAGCTAAGAAATTCATAATTTTTCCATTATAAAAGAAAGACTTGAAAAAACTAGCCACATCTAGTTTGTACTCTTATCCACTGTTGTTCATGGCCACCCAAAAAGTTTGGGGTCAGCCCTAACACGTCAAAAGGACATCTATGGAGATTCTCAATCATGGAAGTCGTGGTTGTCCCAAAGGTGCTTTTTAAAAAGGCACCTGGACTTTCTTTGTTTGTTTTGCTTCTCATCCAAGAAGCTTCTTCAGAACAGAGTCCAGAGGACGAACAGAATATTCCAAATTCTCCAGAATGCTCCATTCCTGAAATGGTTTGTTTTTCAAATCCTGCCAAATTAGGTACTCTCATATTGGCCACACTATCTTCTTTCTCATCATCAATCACTTTGGGAAAAATTATTTCCAACATATCAAGCAAAGACCAAATGTTTAAATGCTGTGTTTGTGGTTTATTTTGGCTTTTCTTTTTTAACAATTTATTTATTTTGGCTTTTTTCCTGAAGCTCAAGAAAAGATGGGAAAGGGATAAGAACAACTCTTGGCCAGAAAGTCACTCAGAGAGCTAAATAATCCATTATCTAAAGCACTACATAAACTGCAACTGATTAATATGTTTATTTTCACTGTATTTAATATAATCCATATCTGCCATATTAAATATTCAAACAAACAAACAAACCTGGTCCAGGGGCAAAATATATGATCCTGGACCTATAACTGAAGTTGTATACTTCTGTTTCAAAAATTTTGTTAATCCTACCTGTGATAATCTGTGTTAATCCTACCTGTGATATTGCAGTACACCCATGTATTATCCAAATCGAAGTTGCTCGTAATGGCACACCACAGCTTCCTATCACTCATACCCTGTGTTGTACATGTATTATAGGAGAAGCTTTTGTAGATGAATGGGAATACACAAAGCGGATTCACTCTTATTAGATCAGGTTCTGGATCTTAAAAGAAAAAGGTAAAATGAAAGTAAGGTTCTGGATACCTTTCACATATGATTCTACATATGATTCTACAATTTTGTAAACAACAAACTAAAAGACTCGAGGTCCATCCCACCCCTGAAAGGACCTAATGGTAAAGACTGCAACGACAACACTATTAAAGCCAACCTCTTTAACACATTCTTTGACTCAGTATTTGTAAACAGCAATGGATCATGCCCAGTATTTCCTAGTCGAACCACAGACAACTACAATGATCTAATACATATTGATTTTACAGAAGACAATGCTGAAAAAGCACTACACAATCTAAAACCATCTCTATCAATTGGACCGGATGGAATATGTGCCTACTTCTTAAAAAAGCTACCCACTGCCATAGCCGAACGTCTAAGCATAATCTTTGAAAAATCTTTCAGGACCAGCTCCTTGCCAAAACTATGGTCAGAAGCCACGGTCATCCCCATCTTCAAAAAGGGAGACCCCAGCCTAGTTGAAAATTACAGACCAATCTCTTTATGCTGAGTCACCTGTAAAGTCATGGAATCAATTATTAACCAATCCATCATCCTCCACTTAGAAACAAACAACCTACTCTCTAATAAACAATTTGGTTTTAGGAAAAAACTATCATGTAACCTGCAACTCTTACACTGCAAAAACATATGGACTACACAACTCGATCAGGGCAAAGCGATAGACGCAATCTACATAGACTTCTATAAAGTCTTTGATTCAGTGGTACACAACAAACTACTCCTAAAACTAAAATCTTATGGTATCTCTGGACACCTGCATAACTGGATAGAAGCATTCCTGTCAAACAGACAAAAAATGGTCAAAATTGGGAGCATCCTATCAAATTCTGTACCTGTCAACAGTGGTGTCCCCCGAGGCAGTGTTCTAGGACCAACTCTTTTCATACTCTACATAAATGACCTCTGTGATCGTATCAAGAGCAACTGCATTCTCTTCGCTGATGATGTAAAGCTATTCAACACCACAGACAATACTGCTACCCTTCAAAAAGATCTTGACTATGTATCAGAATGGTCAAAACAAATGGCAACTTCAAATCTCAACAAATAAATGCTCTGTCCTACATATTGGCAAAAAAAAAATCAGAAAATAAAATACAGGCTGAATAGTCAAGATCTTGTTGATGATCCAAACTCTGTCAAGGATCTTGGAGTACTCATCTCAAATGACCTAAGTGCTAGAGCCCACTGTAACTACATAGCCAAAAAGGCATTAAGAGTTGTTAACCTAATCTTACGTAGCTTTTTCTCTGGTAATATTACACTAATAACTAGAACATACAAAACATTTGCTAGACCAATACCCGAATACAGCTCATCAGTCTGGAACCCACATTACGTATCTGATATTAACACAGTTGAGAAAGTCCAGAAATATTTCACAAGAAGAGTTCTCCACTCTTCTACTCATTGCAGAATACCTTATCCCACCAGACTCAAAATTCTAGACCTAGAAAACCTAGAACTATGCCGCCTTTGGTCCAATCTAAACATAGTATATAAAATCATACATTGAAATGTCCTACCTGTCAATGAATACTTCAGCTTCAACCATAACAACACAAGAGCAAACAATAGATACAAACTCAAGGTTAATCGCACCAAACTTGATTGCAGGAAATATGACTTCAGCAACAGAATGGTCAATGTCTGGAATCCTCTACCTGACTTTCCCCAAACCCCAAAAACTTCAACCTTAGACTTTCTATTGACCTCACCCCTTTCCTAAGAGGTCTGTAGGGGGCATGCATAAGTGCACCAACCGTCCCTGTCCTATTGCTTCTTTTATTTTTTTATTTTTCTTATATGTTTCCATGTATTCATAACTATGTTTTTACTTATACCTATTATCTTGTAAGCAATTGACAAATAAAAAATAAATAAATAAATAAAATAAAATGATTTTCCACAGAGTGGAAAAATATTTATCTGCTTATATCCTCAGAATAATACTATTAGAAAACAATCAGGATCTATATTCTGCAATTTCCTCCTAGATACATTTTATTTAAAAAGATTACACTACCTGAGACTTCCCAGAAAACAACAACTGAATGAAAAACTGCTGGTGACCTTCTACCCAGGGGTGGGATCCGACCAGTGTAATTACCAGTTTGGTGATTTTACGTTTTGCTGCGCGCGCATGTATAACATCGTCAGCTTGCTGCCTGGACAACTGAGCAGCGCTGCGCGCGGGTACGCAGAGGTTGGAAAAGCCCTTTTTTCCTGCTTTTTCAACTGCAGCTGTGCCATGCAATGCTGCTGAGGTTGAAAAAGCAAGAAATAAAGGTCAGGTAAGAGCCCAGGTGGGCATGTTGGCCACAGCAGCAGACATAAAACCGGATCTATGTCTGCTGCTCTTCAGAGCTACCGGTTCTACAGAGGTGGACAGAACCAGTAAAATCCCACCCCTGCTTCTACCGCTGCACCATAAAAAGTATTTTAATTTAATGCACCTCTGTATAGTCTGCCAATTGCACAGTGACAGATAGGAAAGCACTCCAGAGGGTTAATGTCATTGCCTAGAAGATTATTGCCCTCTCCCCTCTTTGGAAGAGCTTTATAGCTCCTGCTCCCTTAAGAAAGTTCAACACATTCTCAAAGATCCATCTCATCCTGGGAACCCTATTTTTGAACTATTACCATCTGGCAGACGGTACAGAATAATAAAAACAAGGACAAATAGGCTGAAAAACAGCTTCTATCCCAGGGCAGTAGCTCTTTTGAATTCTACTGTATAGTGCAGTATTAATGTAATATCAGGGGTTTTCAATTCAATGTATAGAATGTGAAGAATGTGTGTTTGTTTTTATTTTCATAGTCATAATGTACACTGAAGATGGTATTTAAGTTCATTGTATGAGGTGCAATGACAATAAAGTAAATTAAACTAAATTTGTGATGAAAGACCAATTTGCTTTAATAGAAATAATAGGATATACTGTATAGACATACAGATTTCCTACGACATAGTTTCCAGACATTGTAACACAGCTATGACTCTATCAAATTTTGACAAGTCTTATGTTTCAGTTAATAATACCTTTCCCCATAGTCTATCCCAGTAGTGGTTAACCTTTTCATCATCGCGTGTTGAAGTGCTCCTTAATACAATGCACATGTGACCCCTCCGCCCCTGCTTATGTGCATGCAACCACCCCTGCACCATGCACCTCTGCACATATGCACACGACACAGCCCCATGCGCACCCTGCCCCCTGCACATACGCATGCATCTATTTATTTTTTATTGTATTGTATTTGTCAATTGCTTACAAGATAATAGGTATAAGTAAAAACATAGTTATGAATAAGAAAATAGTATATATGTATAAAAGAAACAATAGGACAGGGATGGTAGGCACGTTGGTGTGCTTATGCATGCCTCCTACAGACCTCTTAGGAAAAGGGTGAGGTCAATAGTAGACAGTCTAAGGTTAACGTTTTTGGAGTTTGGGGAAAAAAACCACAGAGTCAGGTAGAGTATTCCAGACATTGACCACTCTGTTACTGAAGTCGTATTTCCTGCAATCAAGTTTGGTGCGATTAACCTTAACTGATTAACTGCATGCGCGTCTCCTTCATGCATGCATGGCAGATACCCAACAATCAGCTGGCTAGTGGGGGTGCACACATGCGCAGGGGATCTGTTCCAGGCTCGTGTGCCGGGAGAAATGGCTCTGCATGCCACTTCGGCATGCGTGCCGTAGATTCGCCATCATGGGTCTATGCAATTGACTTCTAGATTATTCTGTATACTTTAGTATTAGTTAAATGATCTTCAGTTTTTTTGTTAAAGAAGAAGTTTTTCTTAAATACTGCATTCTTTGTTTAAATGTAACTTTTGTGATCCTCCATTTCAAAGTTTATAAAATTTAACATATAGTTATCACTTCATAATTGTCATGAAGATTGTATACTATAAATAAGAAACAAATGTACGTTGTCAATACCACACCATACGCATACATACTCTCTCTCTCTCTCTCTCTCTCTCTCTCACACACACACACACACACACACACAAAGTTCCCATCAAGCAGTTTCTATTCCATATATATGGTAGGATAACTTTTGGGCCAAGTTAGTTCAAGCCTCCATTCCTTGAACTAACTTGGCCCACTGCTTGAAAATCCACGGAACAAAGCATTCATTTTATTGCTTACCTGTAACATTACAATATTGCCATTTCTTATCTTTGTCATAGTTGCTACTTGTGGAACACCAGAACTTCCCATTATCCATGTCCTCATCAGTACATACACTGTAGAACTTGCCCTTGTAGATGAATGGGAAAACACAAGTTTGATTGTCTTGCTGTGGCTCTGTTCCTATTAAATATTAAAATAAAAAGCAAATGAAGAAAGATATATGGACTTTCCAGAAGAGAAAAATTTACTGTTGTACCTTCAGATGGCATTTGGCCATCAAATGCCAATGTACAGATATTTCAGTGGCAAAATATGGCCACTGAATATAGAGTCATTAATTCCTGCATTAAATCATGTGTTAAAATAGCTTATTTCCTTAAAGGCGATTTGGAGAAAAGATTTTGTTTCTTTTTTTCCCTTATTTTGTCTCTCTTACCCAATTCCTCTGGACAGAACTTCCATTTCTTGTCAAGATCATAGTTGATAGTAGTGGCACACCAACGTTTCCCATCACGTCGTCCCTCTGTTGTGCAGCTGAAATACAGCTTGCCATTATAGACAAATGGGAAGACGCAAGATAGATTCTCCACTTTCTCTTTTGGCTCTGATGTTTAATAGTTAAAACAGAGAAAATGTATAGAGAACATCAGTTGCCCAAAGATAACAATGCAATGTACAAATTTACAGCCTAAACTTAATGTGCAATTAAGCCAAAATTAGATGTAACACAAAGCAAGAAGTTGTGTGTGTGTGTGTGTGTGTGTGTGTGTGTGTGTGTGTGTGTGTGT